ATCGGGAAAAAAATAAAATAGAATATTTACGCATGGACTCTGCTGCAATTCATAGTTTAATTTCTAATTTTTGGTGGTGGCGGGTTTTTCCAGTTGCTTTGACCAATGCTAAATCATTTGCTGGTAGCCTGCTGGTGATCCTGACGTTCGTTTCGTTTTCTGAAGGGATTTCTGGCTCCGCAGTTCCCTCAAAAGAAGCATCTGGGGAGCTGTTTTATGAAGTCTCGTGTGTATGTATATATGTATGTGTATATATGTATGTGTATATATGTATGTGTATATATGTATGTATATGTATATATGTATGTATATATGTAAATATGTATATAATGTATGTGTGTATGTATGTATGTATGTATGTATGTATGTATGTATGTATGTATGTATGTATGTATGTGTATGTTGTGTATGTATGTATGTATGTATGTATGTATGTATGTATGTATGTATGTATGTATGTATGTTTGTTATGTATGTATGTATGTATGCATGTATGTATGTATGTATGCATGTATGTATGTATGCATGTATGTGTGTATGTATTTGCGGAACTTCATCACCTTGTCTTGAGCGTTATCACTTTTGTGTCGTCTTACTGATTATGAAATAAAAGTGTTGCGCTCCTTTCAAAAATGTTTGTTTCAGGTTTAAACATAAAAATCCGGAAGATTTGAGTGTTGTACCGGATGGTTATCTGTCAGATTGCAATACGGTATCTCTCTTTTTTCTTTTTCTCTCTTTCCCTAATGTGGTTTTACTTTTCATTTTTCGTGTACATTATTATGCTTCTACCAAATTTCATAGTTTAGTTTCTCATGTATGCAGTTGAAAACTTTTCCGACAACTTTGACCATCATCACCTGTTTGTCAACCTGCCGGGAACTTTTTTTTGACCTGATAGGTTGCTTTATGTTAGAATCATGGGCGGATCCAGGGCGGTCTCCTGGGAGGCGGGGGGGGGGGAGACGATTTTCCTCCCCCTCCAGTTCGTCGCTAGACTGGAATCCCCGCCTTCTCCCTCTCCCCTCCCCTCGATTGTCCCGCTACCCCTCCCCCGCGGATCCCGCCAATGGTCAGAATTGCCCGGGTGCTTAGTATGAATCATTCTCACTGTCAAACAAGGTATAGTTATTTATCAAACGGGATATTTGTATATGCCATGCATATTTGATTAAAAAGGACATATTGCAAGATTAATGCGCTAATTTCCGACGTCCGTAAAAGAAAAATCACAGCGTGGGGACTTAGCATCAAGGAGAATTTTTTTGAATTTCAGGCGCAAGCCAGGCAGAGTTGTGTTAGATTTCAATATTTTGAGAAGTTTGCCTTCAATTTGCATTCGCTTTTTTATAGCTCATCACTATAAATTGGCAATTTTTATGCATTTTTTGCATTTTTATAAAAATGCAAAAACGCATGTTGTCGAGAGATTGTGTGTGTGTGTGTGTGTGTACGTGTGTGTGTGCGTCTGGGTTTTTTACCCACATTCAGCTGAGCAATACTGCAGAAGCTAGGAAGCTGAAATTTTTGTAACTCACATGCAGTTTATATTTGATTTTAGCGCATGACATGATTTCACCATGCATTTGTTTTGTTGGGTGCTATGCGAATTTACGGTGATTTTTTGGGAAAACGAAATTGGAAGATTTTACTCTTTCATAAATCCCTTTCCTTTAAGTATGTTTCAGGATTCATTGCGAATAATGGATCCAGTGTACGTTGACAAATGGATTACAAATTCGAAAGTGTATGATCGGTATCAGTTTGAGAGGATTGGCTTTTTTTCTGTTGATCCGGATACTACGCCTGATAAAGTAAGTGCTTTTTTCGCAACTATTGGGCTTAGAAATGGCGCTTGAGTGAAAGTTTTGATTTTTTTTTTTGCCTCAAGGAACAGTTGGATTATATGAAAATTGTATAACTCAATAAGCCGGAAATTATGTAAAAGCTGAAATTATATAAAAACTGTTTGAATAAATAAACCGAAGTCGCAATTGTCAGTGGTTCAGAAATAATAGTCATCTGAAATACTAGGATTAATTGATCTGACTGATATTCAGACTTCTGGTGTTTCGGGGATTAGCAGTTTTTTTCCCTCTCTCAATGGTTTTTCTAGTGGATGCACTTGGCAAGGCTTTAACAGTTCAAGAATTCATAATTGTTTAGTCCTGGAGTAATGAAAAATGTAATTTTTGCAGCTTGTATTCAACTGTACGGTCGATTTGAAAGAAGATAGTGGAAAGTATTAATGGATTAAATCAGTTGCAACGGGCTCCAAGCCTGCCAATTCGATCATGCATTTTTGTACGATTTTGTGCTGTGGCAAGCTGGGAAGCTGAAATTTTCGGAGGATATGATGATGTTGCACTTGCACACATCGTCATATCTTCAGAAAATTTCAGCTTCCTAGCTCAATTAGCTCCCAAAATCG